CCAGCCGTATGCAAAAATATTTTCGCCAAAAAAATATAAATTCAAAAAAAGGCAGAAACCCTAGCCGCACACCGCCTGCCACGCCAGATCCTGCCACCACAGCCGCCCGCCACTGGCCATGCCAGATCCATGCTGCCTAGGCCGCCGTCGTTCCCCGCAGCCGCCGTCGCTCACAGCCGTCGTCGATCCGCGACCTCTGGCCGTCAAGCCTGCAGCCGCCATAGCCATCGCCATCTCCGCCGCCGCTCCCACCGTCACCGGTGCTAGATCCGCCGTCGTGCGTGGGGGGTGGGAGCGGCCGCCATCGCCGATGTTGGCACCGCCGGATCAGCCGCCCTCACCGGCCGCAGTCGCGGGGGTCGTAGCCGCAACAAGGTGTGACAGAACCCCCCCACCCCCACCCCCCCCTCCCCAAGAGCGCCGCTGCCGTCATCATCCACCGTCGCCGCCCACCATCGCCAAGGTCACAGCCGCACCCAAGGGTGGCAGATCCTCCCCCCCCCTCTTCTCGAAGGCGAAACCACCGGATCCGCCACCCTCGCCGTCCACCGTCACCGCCCGCCGTCGCGAAGGCCGTAGCCGCACCTGAGGGCGGTGGATCCGGCCCTCCCGAGGGCGCCGCCCGCTGTCATGGAGGCCGCGCAGCCGCCCGCTGTCGCACCCTCGCCATCACCCGCCGCCACACCTAATGGCCGGCCTCCCCATCGGCGTCGCCGCCTGCTACCGCCCACGCTGATTTGGAGGAGGAGAGGAGTTAGAACACGAGGAGAGGAGAGGAGAGAAATATCAGGAGAGGGAGAGAGGAGAGGGGTGAAAAATTTTGAAGTGGTGAGGAGGGAAAGAGAGAGCATAAGAGAAAAAAAATAGATTTTTGCATGTTACTCCTTAAGAGGACCGTATAAAAAAAAATCTTTTTTTTTTTTTTGCTTACGGTCCCCTTAAAAGATCCGTCTGGAGAAATCGATTTTTGCATAAGCTGGCACTTACGGGCCGTTTGGAACCTACTGGGAGTCTGGTCCAGAAAAACGTTTTCTGTAGTACAACATGTCAGTATATCATGCCGAGCACCACCGTAGAAGACTTAATTAGCTTATGTGCAGGAAGTAGAGAAATAACTGACCAAATATATATAGAAGAATATTATGAGAGAAATTTATTCACAAGTGGAGAAAAATACACTCACTGTTACAGAAATGAGCCTTCGTGACAGGTCATCCATCATAGGTGACTTCTCTCATTGATTAAGGGCCTGTTCACTTTAATGACATTTTCAATCATACCATTTTTTTTACAAAGTTACTTAAAAAAATAGATACGTTTAATTTGTTGCCATAGTCAATACATAAGAAATCCTGCCAAAATTTTACTAATATTATCATCTTGCTAAAATTTTAGCATTGCTAAAAACTTGGTAAAGTTTATTTTGGCTACAACCTAAACATGTCCTGAAAAGTAACCCGTTTGATAAAATTACTTACCAGGGATAAGCTGTAGAAGACTTAATTAGTGATCATACGCTGATATGAGTTCATCTGACGGGAGTTATAACCCGTCACTGACCACAATAATGATAAGTTTTCGATGACGGGTATAGAATCTCTTAAAAACAAGAGATTGTATATTTCGAAAAAAAAAACAGGGGGTTGTGCGCATCGGGGTTTGAGTTGGCCTTTGCTCGTATGGATTTGTTGTGCACCGGATTTGAATGGACAAGTTGCTGCACCGGGACAACAGATTTACAAGTTATTGTCCCTATTTACACACCCCACCCACCATTATGTATGAGCACAATTCCCTTTTCTTAACTAGCAGACATTACTACTCATTAACTATATTGACATTAATTACCAAAATGGTGCGTTATCACTCACCAAATGAGCAGGCAACTGCTGCTAACACGTAGCACACTCTCAAACCACAGGTAGAGCCATCGACTTAGGTCTGTTTAAGGAGCTTAATACTAGAAGCAGCTGGTTGGTTGCTAGTTTCTGAGAATTTGGAAAAAGATATGTTTTCCAGCTTCTGGCTTTAGTTCATTTCTGGATTCTAAAACTAGTTCTGTTATATTCAACATGGTATAGGAATTACATCGATCATCAGTAATTCAAGGACACTTCAAATTGTTTAGTTTTATTTTAAATTTGCAAACATTTGTGGCAGACATAAATTGAAACACAAAGGTCAAGGGAAGTGGGCAAGCACCAAAATTGTGTGTATAGTTCCATGACTATCAATCATATTACTACCATGGCCATACATAACTTTGTAATAAATTAATGCAGAGTGAAGTCTCCATGCGTATGTTGAAAGCTGACCCGGAAGACAAAGGTGAAATCTATAATCTTATAAAAACAATCAAAGATCAAGTAACTGAGAAAGCAAGGAAGGATATAAGGACATTGACTCAAACATACACAAGCAACACTTCTTTAGTAGCAATCCTCCTTGCAACAATCACCTTCGCCGCTGCTTTTACCTTGCCTGGAGGACACAGTAATAATGCTGGAAGTGAGGGGCTTCCTAACATGGGTAGAAAGCTTGCATTTCAGGCATTCTTGATATCTGACACCTAGGCAATGTGCACGTCACTTACTGTTGCCTTCGTATGCATCATAGCAAGGTGGGAGGATCTTCAGTTCTTGCTTTACTACAGATCTTTTACTAAGAAGCTCATGTGGTTTGCATATTTTGCAACCACTACCGCATTCGCAACTGGTTTATATACAGTTTTGGCCCCTCACCTTCCATGGTTGGCCATTGCAATTTGCGTTGTGTCAGTTTTGTTGCCCATTCTCACTAAGCTTATTGGTGAATGGCCAGTCCTGAAGCTCAGGATTCGATTGCTTGGATCTTTCGAGTCCGATCTCATTGATATGGTTTGATCTAACCATCTTGTGTTGTCTAGTACTTTATGGTTGATAGTGTTATGCATTTAATAAATTTTGGATGCCGTGAAAAGCAAAACTTATGTAACGAACTTTACTAAGTCAAGCTTGTACTCATTAACAGTACTGTTAAAAACTGTCAGTGTTGTTTTTCTATCATTTAAGTTTGTTATGATCTGCTGTATGGAACATTTCTTGAAATCTGAGGAAATATTTTGAGTCATTACTACAAGAAAAATACTTTGTAGAGACATTTTTCTAGTACTGTAGAGAAATTTTTCAAATGCTTTTACAATAGTGTAGAGGCATTTTAAAAAATGTCTAATAAGTGTCTTATGGTAACTATAAGATGGTAGAGGCATTTTCTAGAGACATTAAATTATACCACAAACATATGAAACCAGTCCAAAAGAGGACTTTCGGTGTTGTTTTTCTATCATTTAAGTTTGTTGTGCTATGCTGCATGGAACATTTCTTGAAATCCGAGGAAATATTTTGAGTCATTACTACAAGAAAAATGCTTTATAGAGATATTTTTCTAAGTACTGTAGAGACATTTTTCAAATGCCTTTACAATACTGTAGAGGCATTTTAAAAAATGTCTAATAAGTGTTTTATGGTAACTATAAGATGGTATAGGCATTTTCTTGAGACATTAAATTGTACCACAAACATATGAAACTAGTCCAAAAGAGGAGATGCATTTTAAAAAATGTCTAATAAGTGTCTTATGGTAACTATAAGATGGTATAGGCATTTTCTTGAGACATTAAATTGTACCACAAACATATGAAACTAGTCCAAAAGAGGAGAATAAAATAGTCTCATTGCTTCTGTCAAACCTTGAACTCAAGATCTCCTGGACAAATCATTTTTTTTATCCTCAATGCACTAACCAACTCAATTCCATGTCATTAGTTGCATGTTTGTGTCTTTAGTTATTTATATTCAGTCGTTTAGTACACATTGTCATTTTAAAAAGTATCTTTACATAGTTTAAAATGTCACAAGAAAATACCTTTACATATCAGGCGCATTTTACAGTACCGAAAGAATGCCTCTACGAGATAAAATCCAATAAACTGAGCTGAAAATGTCTCTAGAGTAAAAATTTTCTAGGCAATTTATAAAGTGTCTCTACACTATAAAACTTCTGATCTTAGAAGCAATTTAGAAAACGTCTCAACGAAAGTGCCTCTATATGAGGTTTTTATTATAGTAACAATATGTTTTATGATGTATCAAATACCACTAGAAGATGAGGTGCACCAATGGTGCGCCTCTAGTAATGTGAGGAGGAATGAATAGCAATAAAAGTTAGGAAGTGATCATTTCTTGTGTTGAGGAGTCCTGTTCAGCTAAACCTGACCATAAGAATGGTAATGCCCATTGGTTCATTGTTGCAATATAGTTCAATGACATATCTTATTATTCACCATATGTAATGGCTAGACATTAGATACATCTGCTGATTATGAATCTGAAATGTGTGGTAATACAACTTCTGATCCTTAGTGTCAACAGCTCTAACCATAAACAATTTCTGCATCTTTGTTCTTGTTAAAAGATTGCATGATTTCAATCACACAACAATCCTACTATTTATATCAAGTATATATACCTGTCATTTATATCAGTTAGTACATTATGAAGTTGGGATAAAAAATATGTTCTTTGTTCTGTTCCAACTCCTGATCAAACATACAAAATACTAAACTAGATCATCTGGCAGCACATCTAATGATTGTGTCCTCCATCTTAACTAGCTGCAAAGTATGTTAAGATCAGCACTTGATGCCACAAATTTTAAAATATTATAACATTTCAGAAAAAATCATTGAACACTATCATGGAACAAAAATAAAAAAATGACAGCCAGTCGGAGCAAAGGGCTCAAAATTAATCAATTAATCTGTTTGCATGCTGATTGCACAGCCCCACTCACAAGCTTGCTGACCAATTCAGATTGGTGATGGCAAGAGTATACAGTAAATGACAGTTTAAGGGCATGCTCAAAGTGCAGCTATAAGGAACTTGAAAGTACCAACTCAATTATACCAAACAAAACACCATATCCCAATACCACTTGCTTACAGATCTAAAAAAAACCAAAAATCAATAATGTGCTCTTGCAATTTCTGGAAGCCATCATAGAACAACAAAATTCAGGACAGCATGTCCAAGTATCGACTTCATAGCAACTGCTCTGCTTGAATGGATTATGGCAAATGGTGATGAGGTTCTAATCTTCAGATTCTGCAGGTTGAGAAAATGTGATTAAAAATGAATTACATCAGGATGCACTCCTAACTGAATATTTGAAAGAACAAGGTAAAAACAAAACTTTCTTAAGGTAGACAAACTCATCTCTTCATAATACATTCAAGATATATAATGGTGCTAAATACAACAATTATATAGGAGTTAGATCACCTGCACGCATTCTCTCCACGAGACATCCTTTCTTTCTCTAATTGATAGAAATTAGCAAATCCTTAAACTAGGTACATAATCTATTAGGGAAAATAGAAAATCTAGCTAAAGAAGAAGACTCCCTAACGTTTTCCTTGCACAGATGGGTACACAGTATCTGGACACTATTGTGCATATTGGATCAAGATGGAGAGCCCAAAACTGACATGACAACAGGTTTCAGTTACAGTATTGCATTTAGACACTCCACATATGAATACATTATAGTACTCGAACTGATATTCTTTTCCTTTGCCTATTCAATTCATCAATAGCCTGAATTACAGAATCTCCATTTGCACACCAATCCAGCCCATCACGCCATGCTTCATATATTGCTACGAGTAATCAGATCTAATTATTCTTATATGCACAATTTGAAGCTTAACTATATGACAAAACCAATTATTTTGCTTCTAACTGCTCACACCATAAGGTAGCGACAAATCAAAATCAGAACATATTGTCATTATGTTCACTTGTTAGTCTGAACAATCTAAAGAGACTAAATTTGGAGACAGTGTGCTCATGCCATTAGTAGCTGATTAATAGTTGCCAAAACTCCAGGTTATACTCAAGAAAGCTGATTATTGTTTTTATGTCTTCGATAGCAAACTTTATTGTTGTAGTCGATAGCAAAGATCAAATACCATTCAAACAATCATGTGTTTCTCTAATCGATAGCAAATAACATAAACTTCAGACATGTCTTTCTCTATTCTATGGCAGCTAGCTATAGCACATCCTTAAAACCTTAAGCTAGGACGGTAATTAATCGATTAGGGAAATAAATAATCTTGCTAGCCTTCCTAAAGTTTACCCTAACCATCTGCCACATTACCTTAACCAAATGGAGAGTTGGTGATGACTCCGAATCCAAATCAGATGGGTCGGTGACAACACGCACAACAATGACAGGTAGCCGGTGGGGAACTCATTGAGAATCCCGGCGGGGGAAAGGAGAGCGGCTGGCGGGAGTTAGTTAAATTTTACACTAAATTTTTGTATCTCGCGGTACTAAATTTTACAGAACCTCATGGTACCTTCTTAAGGATGGTAAAATTACCCTCTATATATACCTATCTTGAGACACTCAATATATCAGTTCAACGAATTCCATCATTCTCTATTATTTACACTATTTGCATCCCCAATCTGCCATTTTGGCATCTTGTGCTCTCTCTAAAATCAAGTTGGAGTGTTATTTTCCCACTCTTTCAGCTTAAAACGATGTGAATCCAAAAGATTTATCTCAAGAATTACAGCTCTGCAATACTTATATACATGTAGTTGTTGTTTTCGACTTGGGAGACATCAGGAGATCACAGTTTATACAAGAATGGCTAAGGGCTACTTTGGATTGAAGGGACTCCATTGGAAAACTAGAGGAATTCGATCCAAACGAGAAATTCCTAGGAGAGATCAATAAATATTGTGAAATTGGTTCAAAATAATTTTTAAGGATAGTAAAAATTCCTCCACAGTTTGGAGGAATTCTAACATATGGTCTTGCCTTACAAATCCCCTCGAGAACTCCAATGCACTTCTTCTCTATCTTACTCCCTTCTCTCTCTAATAAATCAACATATAAATCTTATTAAATTTCCTGTATTTTTTTTCCGTGAGGCATACAAACAGCATTCTGTACAATTCGTATGGCATTCAACAAGTCATGGCACCTCAATCCTGCATTTTTCTATTCCTTGTTTGAAAATTAAAAAAAAAAATCCTGTGTTCCAAAGGATGCTAGACAATCAAATGAGGCTATGTATGAATGGTCCTCTATGCACCAGAAGTTGACGACTTCATGACTCCATCATTAGGGCCAAAAAACTGTAAGAAGGCAATTTCTCTTGTTATTGAGCAGTACATCTGATTATTTTTTTACGAGAAACAGCAGAAGAGGCTCCTACTACAGTGTATTAAAATAATAGAGGTTTATATGCAAGAGACTGTACAGGAGTAATCTCATTATTGTTCTTTTTCCGGCTGAACAATGCATAATGGATTTCAGCATTCAGAGATTTATCTGCTTGAACAAGTTGTGAAGCGGTATTCTCGTAGGAAATTTGGTTCGCTTAATTCATTATGTACTCGAAGGAAAATGTGTTTTGCTCTTTGTGGGTTGGATAGTGTATAGGAAAAACCTCCCTTCAAAACTTCAAAATGACTCTTTTTAGGGGCTTCAGGCAGAGCTCATCTACTGGACTTCAGATGCTACTGATGGCACTGGATGGGTGTAAATGTTCGTCAAAATTAACACATTAAACCACCTAGCTACTTTGTATTCATTCAAACCAATCCTTCTAACGAAGTGACACCATTTTCTAAAAAAAAAAAAAAAAAAACGAAGTGACACCTACTGACCTACATATATTTCATATACATACCCTAAAATAAATAGCACAATAGTCACAGTTGTAGAACCACAGAATCCAATCCTTCTAACGATGTGACACCTACATATATTTCATATGCATACCCTAAAATAAATAGCACAATAGTCACATAGGTGTAGAACCACAGAATTAATCAAGCCACCATAAAACATTATCTGAAATAAGATAAAAGCTGTCAGACCTATTGCTTTTGTGCAGTCGAGAAGCAATTTTTTTCTGCTGTTGGCATGAGATGCAACGGGAAAAACTGTGTGATAGAGTGTAGAGAAGCATCCATTTGAGGCGATGACTGAACAATTGACGGGTGATTGCATCCCAATATGTTCTAGCAAGTGATAACTCCAACACAGCAATGTAGGGCGTGCGAGTTTTCGGTGGCAGAGAACAATGTAAGACCTGCTTGGGTTAACTTTCAAGTATTTGCAATTTGCCTTCAACCATCACTCCAAGACAAGCCACTAGTTCATTCTTTGCACAGGTCAGTTGCAAATTAGATAAGCCACTAATAGCTAAATACATATTGATCCATCACTTCCACGATTCAATCAGTACTAATCTCTGTTAAATCTTGCTAGAGATGATTAAACCTAACACAGACACAGGTGTTAGTGGAGGCAATCCTTCAGTTAAGTAGAACAAAACGATCTATTACTAGTTGTTGGGATGATATTTGCACAGAAATGCATGCTTAAGATAAATTGTTGCGAGGGCACTAATTGACATCCTTGCTAAATAGTATCCCTCCTATATGCTTCAATGCTTTCTCATACTCTGCCTTCTGAAACTCATCAAACCTTGAAGTGTCTGCCAGCAACAGCTCTGTGTATTTCATGTAAAGTGCTGTTTCTTTCTTTACATTCGCTTCATCCTGCTTTATTCTGGCCAATTCAAGCTGCTCTTTCGAGAGGCGGAGCTGTACCTCTGACATTTTCTCACGATCATTGTTAAGCATGGTCTGAAGATATAATGCATGTTTGATGTCTTCCTGCACCTCACATGAAGAAGATGATGCCTTGCCTTTACGTTTCCGATTGACCTTTCGCGCCTTGAAACCTTGATGAGGCTGTGTTTCTTTTTTAGGTTCATCTTCCCTTGCCACTCTCTCATTGTCTAGCACCTCAAAATCTTGTGGGCCCGATTCTTTTTCAAGCATTTCATCCCTCACTGCCACCCCCTGCTGATGTTCGTTCAATTTTGATGTTCCAGTCATCAATTGGTGCCTCCCAAGCTGAAATTCAATAGGCCACGACGCATCAGCTGTCAATAGTTCTAATTGCTTCTTTTGATTTGAGACAGACGGCTGGACTTCTGTCATATCTTCATGGTTCTTGGGAAGCATGTCCAGAGGATCCACTAAGCATTTTCCTTCTTGCATATCTTCAGAGTCTTCCGAAGATGACACGTAACCACCGGACTCAGATCGCATCACTCTTTTTGCGGAGAAAGAAGAGATGTATTCTTTCCACTTGGGTTGGTCCCAAACAGCGTTCCAGCAATGGCCAAAGGTGAACTTATGCTTCGCTTCTTCGAGATACATCACATGTGCTTCCTTATTATACATCAGCCAAGTTTTGTCCATCTGTTGCATGCCCTCTGACTGGCCACTAGGATATTTTGCCATGACCCGGCACCAACAATCATTGAAATGTGCCACCTTATTGATCATCCTCTGCCAGCGGTTCTTCAAATGCTTCACTTCCCTTCTCCGAGCTCCGGGGGTTGCACTGTTGTATTCTGCTGCAACCTTATCCCAGTACTTGTCAGTCTTGTAGTTAATCAACCAAGTGCTTATCTGTAGTTCCAGCACGGAGATGTTAGGATACCATTTGCAATGTCCAAAAATTAGAAATAGAAAAAGGAAGAGGAATGCTTACCAATCTAATGTCTTCCTCTTCTGTCCATGCTAGTCGCCTAGCAGTCCTCTCAGGTTCAGCATCGTCATCATCTTGTTGTCCTGGACCAGTTACTGAATGTGGGGTGCCTTGATCAGAGGGTGCCTTGGATGGCATAACTGTAGCTGGTACATATGGTGATGGCATAGCTCCATCAGGTGGCGGTAATGAGTATGGAGCATATTGTGGTGGAACAGCATATTGGAAATTTTGCGAGTATGGAGGATAGTGAGGAAACGGCGGGAAAGGGAAATTCATTGCATATGCTGGATGTGAAAGTAAGTGCTGCGGAAATTGTGGATGGCAGAAACTCGTGGAGCTGGGTTTTTCTGGTGGGACATTTTGGCAAGTTTTTTTATCTGAATAACTACTAGGTGGGTGAGGCCCCATTGCAAATGAGTGGAATGGTGTGAAATGTATATAGTGGGTATGTCAAACGAGCAGAAAGCACATGGGTTTGAACTTTGAAGCCAATTCTGAGAACCTATTTGGTTGAAGTTCCCAACAGATAAATAAGAATACACCCAAGAGATATCTTGTTCAGCTCTAATTTCATTTACTGTTCCGTTGGATGCCACTTGGAGGAGAGCAACAACCCTGCAGAAACATATGTTGTAAAAATAAGATTTCAAATCATGTAAACAATCAGATTTACTTCGTCCGTTTCATATTATTACACTTACTAGCAATGCCCACATTCATATATACGTTAATGAATCTAGACATATATGTGTACTAGATTCATTAACATCTATATGAATGTGGACAATGGTAGAAAGTCTTATAACCTGAAACGGAGGTAGTACTACAAATGATAAGAAATTGTAATACAGTACTAATGAAATAGTTCAAATAACTTATTAATTCCTTTGGCGTTGAATTGTATTGAGTTAGGATCTATTTTCTAGAGCTGAAAGGGCAAACTAAAGAATCATTTCCCATTTCCACAAGGGCCATGGAGAGTGACCAAAATGCTGCTCCCATCGAGAAGTCAAGAATCAGTCGAGGCAAGCATAAAACTGCCCACTGAGTTGGCAAAAAACTATCTGCCTACTGTTGATTAAAACCTGTGATGCACCCCTCCCCTCTGCCAACTCACACCCCGTTTTTTTTGGAAAAAAGAATGATCTCAGCAATTTTTTTTGTTACACTAGCAAAACATGCGAACTTGAACAGTAAGGTCAAAATGAATTTAGTCTGATTCCAGTGGTGGAAAACAAATGTGATGCACTTGGAACAAATGCATATGGGTCTTAAGTAACTCCAGACAACAGATTCAGGGAAAAGATTTGTCAGATAAAAAGTAGACCAAAAGGTACAATTATATGGAACAGAATCTGCTATTTCTTCTTTTCAAAAGCTAACTGTGACATTTTATTGAAAGGAATCAGCGTTAAATATAAATATAGAACTTGATGCAAGATCAATTACACCGGAAACGTCACTCTCAAACCAAAGTAGACGCTGTTGGAGTCTTGATACTGGTTTTCAGTTCTTTTCACAGTAAGGCTTCTGGAAAAAAAAAGGCTATGCCATTTGTAACAAGAAGTTCTTGCACAATTTCTACATGACATTCTCGTTAATCATAGAAGAACATAAACCTGTTCTTTACAATGATAAGATCTAGCTCACTTGTGCAAATTTAATGTCAAAATATTAAGGAAAACTAATTACCTCATCTTTCATAAAGGACATGCTAAACAGAACATGAACTAGAAATAATCACCTCCTAAATTATTTTTCCCAGTTCAAGTGTGGCATATATTGTGGTAGGACCAGAGTAAGAGACTGGATAGAAACATCAGTTCTAAAAACAAGACAAATCAAGGGAGAAGAGGAAGGTCAAGTTATTTTAGAAAGTAGCAATCCATCTCCACAACTCAATTAACTAAACATGAAAACTAATAAGATGTGATACAAGAAGAAAAAGCACTGGCTGTTCAACAAAGCAGGAGGTGCATGATGCTATCACTCAACTCAATATTGACTATTTATCGGTTTTATGCCAAACATAACAATTAATTAGCCACACAACATCCAAAACTTTAGTGCGACCTGTTTGAAGGAGCTTCCTAATAGTCTGTCCTACAGGCCACAATGTCATATAAACAAATGTCGTATAAAAGAAAACAGTTACCATAAAAACATGACATGGATGGTTCAGTCACTCAAAAAAAAACAGAGGAATCAAAGGTCCATTATTCACTCTCTGACGGTCTTACAAAGTAATATTCTCCCAAACAAAACCTGAGATGTACATAGACCACAATGAGAATAACCTGCAGATTGGGGGAAAATACATGCATGTCATCTGCCAAGTTGGGAATATAAATGGACATATAGATTGGTTAATTGCACAATTTAACCACATTATTTTGCCTACTGGGACAAATATGTATCAAACAGCAGCAAGAAAAAACACCTACATTATCATAACAAAAATCGACACGCATAATCTGCAAAAGCGTGCAATCCGATTTGGGGAAAAAAAAACAAATACCTAATCCAGCAGAATTCTTGTGTTCTGGCCTCCTGTTGCGATCCCTCCTAAAGAAAACAAAAACAAAAACTCAATAAGATCGCAACACTGCGAGCAAGAGATTTACACGGCAACGGGAGGAGAGATCTCTTTGAGATAAAAATTAAGATTGGGAAGTAAAGATGCCGTTTCCGGAATACCAACCGACGTCGCGCGGCGGCGGAGGTGCCGGAGAAACGAAGGGCCGCCGGTGCTCGGGCGGGCGGGCGGGCGGGCGGGCGCTGCGTCGGAGAGCGGAGGCTACGCGCGGACGGCCAGGAGGACAGGGGAGTTCTCCGGTGCCGAGGTACCACGCATGCAGCCGGCGGCGGCGGCGAGGGTTTTGGCTGACGGCGGAATCCGGGTGTGGGGTTCAGGCGGAATGTGGCACTCCAAAGTCAAAAGGGCCAAATTTAACTAATTCTCCAAGGTTAGGTTTGGCTATTATTTACAACTCCCATACAAGATATTATTTACTCCCTCCGTAAAAAAAACAATAAAAAAAATAAAAAACCAACCTAACAAAGATGAGAAATTACATAGTACAATAAATCCATATCTAGATTCGTTGTACTGTAACGTCGGGAAAAATGTTTTTTCTAGTAGTGACTCTTCTCTGTGGTTTACTTATATGCAACTTGTTCTTCATTTAGTTGATGTATATTGCTGGCTTAATGTACGATGCACTTGATCAAATGGTGCAAACCTATATAATGCATTTTCTTCTGACAATATAAATTGGTTGTACCACCCACAACAGGGCAGTAATGAGATGTAGCTTAATAGCCGAAGATGTGGCAGAGGTCCTTGACAACAATGATGAGCACGGCGTTGCTTAACCACAAAGATGATGGGAAACAGATCCTCCGACTTTGTGCAGCCTGCAGTTGTGCGACTGACATGTGGGCCCCATGTCAGTGGCACAATTGTAAACTGCACAACATCAGGGGAGTCTCATCTAGGACGATGAGTAGTAGGATGCACGCTTTGCGGTGCTCGAGTCTAGTGCTGTGGTGTGGTGTGGGAGATCAATCTTATATATCTTCTGAGATAAGAGGGTTTGTAGTACAAGTGGAAGTTGCCCTTGCCAAATTTACACATGAACATCCTCTCGCGATCAACTTGCACCGAAATGCCTATTTCTGATGTAGGCATGTAAACTTGGTGGACTGAATGATCCTGATGCCTCACAATCCTATACCCGCCTCCGGTATAAACAAATGAAAAGCAATATTCCCCTTCAAAGGGTTTTATCAAGGACAAGCAAATTTGCTTTACTCGAGGAGTATGTAGGTCGCCCACCCAGTTGTGCATGCTTTCTGTGAATCTCGAAGCGAGCTTACAAGATCTCTGTGCTTGGAGAGATAGCTGTTTGTTACTCTATTTCTTGGTTTACTTATATCCAGTCTTGAAATGTTTCAAGTGAATGGGACAGATCACCATCCGCCATCCGATCGATGATTTGTGGTGCAGATTGCGCAGGAGTTCTTGCCTTGTGAGTTAGCAGTTTTGGGCCTGGAGATCCTTCTTGGTCCCTCAAATCCTAGTAATTTTCTTGCTTCCATTGATGCTTTCCCGTTTGCTCATGCACCCGATTTGTGTGGTATCGGTGTGAAACGTTTGCATATGCTCATTCGCTTGGTAATACCAATATGCCATGAAGTTTCTACTGCTGAATTTATACACATGAATGGAATCTGTTGAGCAGCTTGCACCCAAATGCCCATTTATAACGTTGGCGTGTAAATATGGTGAGCGGAACTCTCCCGGTACCTCACAATCCTACAATTGTTTACAGGATCAACAAACAAAAAAAACCACCGTACGGTAGAACACCCACCCAATTGTGCATGTTCTTTTAACCATCACAGCAAGCTTACATGATCTGTGGATGCAGAACTGTTTGTTGCATGGTTTACTTATACCCAGTCTTGAAATGTTGCAAGTGATTGGGAGAGATCATCGTACGCCGTCCGATCAACGATGTGCCACGCAGATTGTGCAGGAGTTATCCCTGCCATATTGCAAATTAGTGGCCGTCGCTCAAGTAAATCTGGGCCGCAACTTCTGGACCTGAAAGTCCTCATGGCCCAAAGGGCGTCTGCTCATACACACACAGGCCTGCATGTCTCTCCTCCTCAGTAACAAATGAAAAAACATTGTTAATTCATATTTAATGGGATTTTGCTTGGAAACCTAGCTCAAACATTTATTTAACTGATGGTGAGTATGGTACTATGGTAGAATCTCGCATGCAAATTTGTAACATGTCAGCTCACTTAAATTCTGAGAAAGCAGGCAGGTCGGACTATATTCAAATTTAGTATGAAAATTCCTAGTTTGTGTCAGTGCCATGCATCTGTAGAAATTAAGGTAGAGGAGAGCTCAGTGATCTCTATAGATGATTGACAATTTGAGTCAATGGACTGAACATCGAGCGGATCTAGTTTGCAAGGGAAATTTTCAATGAATCCAACATTCCTTGGATATTAATTTCCTGGATGTTTGCGACATTGGAGCCTTCCATGGCAATGTAAATAGCTACATATCCTTCTCCTAAGTACATTAAGAAAAATGACTCCCCAAATACTAAAATTCTATTATATATATATATTTAAATAATACTATATTCCATATTGTTCTATCAACAGTTGTCGAATAACTATATGAAGTAGAATATTTTCACCTAGCATACCCAAGCATTTCTAGATCAATTGATGGTCTATAGGTACACGACGTCAGTCTGCTGGCACTCTTTTTTCTTTACGCCATAGCCAACGCGAAGACGTGGCATGTACCTCTAGCCTCCCACGTTGGACGCGAGGTCAAAAAGCGCGCGAACCTCCTACATACGCCACGCCCCCTGTGCGAGGCGCCGATCTAAGGCTAGGGTTCGAGCCGTGGCTCACGTTGTGCAGCTTGAGGCCTCTCGGTTGTGCAGCTTTTCATTGAACAGGACACACCTGTGGGTATTGTCTTCATTGGAGAAATAAGGTCCCTTGTGTAGCCTTAGCCCACTTAGCAAACGGGGCTACGGCCTGCGTTGGCCATGGCTTGATGTGCCTACAATCCGGAGTGCCTTAACACTGCTCTCACATGATGCTTCAACCATATATTTAATCAAGAAAAATGTTGAGGAAGCCTTTGTACCAATTACTCCTGATACTACACAGTCTAATATGCATTAGACATGTATAAACGATATATAGCAAACATCTCTATGCTGGAACAAGGGACATCTGCTCTGTTTATGGTACAGTGGGATAGATCACTACCTCACGTGAGTTTGAGCCTTGAGCGTATTCACCTTTGCCGCTCTTATATAAGCATAGACACACATTGTATATTCATGATAATTACCTTAGATATTTTTTCCTTTTAACAAACTAGCTTGCTAATACATAAAAAATGCACCCGATTGATTGAATTAATAATAACAAATGGAAGAGTTTTTTTTTTACATCCTCGATGTGGTGTGGGCAGGTATTACGCTTTCCAACATTATTTGGTATATACTCCCTCTGTTTCTGGTTACAAGACGTTTTAACTTTGGTCAAAGTCAAATTGCTTAAAGTTTGACTAAGTTTATAGACAAATACAGTGATATTTATCTACTAAATTGGTTTCATCAAATCAATAATTGAATATATTTTCATAATAAATTTGTCATAGGTTGAAAATGTTACTACTTTTTTCTACAAAATCGGTCAAACTTTAAACAGCTTGACTTTGACGAAAGTTAAAACGTCTTATAATCTGAAACGGAGAGAGTATATGAATATTTGAGATTTTGAACTAGGATGGCACCACAATTTAAACATGTGTGGTATTGTAGTACTACCTTCTCAAGGATCATTAAAACCTGAAGGCAGACTTCAAAAGGTTCTGAGAGTTGGTGTCTCAGTTAATGTGTTAATTGTGTATGGGACATTCATCCATCAATTCTCATTCTTGCAGTTGCAGTTGCCTGATCCATAACTGGCTTATTAATTCAACCACAAGACATTGGAACTATCAAACATGACAGAAATAGCAAATGGCAGATAAAAAGTCTTTGAATCCAGCAGAACAAACTTGTGTCATGTATTTGGTTTCTATCAGTGTATCATGCTTCTCTAGAAACATATAGGAGCATGGTGATCTGTAGTTGATTGGCATTTCGAGCCACTGGACTGAACACCAGAGTCTCTGATTTGCATGGAAAGACTAATAATATATGAATTCAACGTTCCCTGGATGTTAATCTCTAGCAGAATATTGTTTGAACTGTTTTGGAGGAGCACAACTCAATCAAATTTCATACGAATGCCTTCGTATACAGTTCCAGTTCAACAAACATGCACTTATGCAACAGAGTCTTGCTGTTCATGTTCCACGTTCTCCCTACGCTCTTCTGCTGTTCCTCGCTGTGACAAGAAAGAGGACGGCCATTCGATTGGAGGGCTGATCAGAGGACCATCCATCACCGGATGCAAACAAGGCGAAGTTCACTGCCACTGCGATGCAAAGCAGAAGAAGAGGCCACAATCGCTAGGCTATAGAGGAAATCTATTCAGTTTGCATAATAGGTGAGTATACTTCCACACTCAGCCCATCCTCAGAACATGGTGAACCTCGCAAGCTTCAGCCGTGTGCTGTTCGCATGCTGCACATCTCGGGTGCAGTATCTCCTATTGATGTATCCTGATAGTGGCTCCTGATGCTTCATATGCCTATGCTCATGCAGCTGATATTTGAGAGATTGAATGGCATATGCACTGTTTAGGTTTTTATGGGAGTTTTTGGTTTGTGCAAGTGGAGGGGGTCACTTGATAGAACTTTGTGACCTATGAGACTGAGGCTCTCTCTTACATATATGGGCAGTTCTTCTTGATTGAACGAATGTATAGTTGGTACAAACTAGTTAGTTTATTTGCTTCATATTAAAATATAGAGCAGCAAGAGAATGGACTTGTGGCTTCGCATTATTGTTG